CTTTTAAATATAAACGTGGGCCGTAACACTGCACTGCTAATTGGTTATCTCCCTTACCGGAAGAGGTTGCATTTCCACAGGTCATCCAACGCATTCTCAGTGCAGAATGACGGTTTTACACTCTGAGATACTATACACAAAGAACTTAATTAAGCACCCCCTGTATTTTTGCAATGATAGTTTTTCTGCACATACATAAATCTTCTAATGGGGATTATGATGGAAAAACATTTTTCTGACCCGTATGGTTAGATTTCATGTTGATTTTATGATGATAATTGCTCATTTAAACACACGCACACACACTGATTTTCATACAAAACCATGTCTATACAAGTGTGGCCCCTGAATGTTTAATGTTGAATTTATTGGTGAATGTGAACATTCAAAATTTTATTTTGCGTATCTTACACGATTCAAGGTCAATACCGAGTGTAACCTCCATGTGACTGTATGACAGCCAGCACTCTCCTCCTCATACCCCCGTCAGTCTCCTGATCCTCTGAAGGGGCAGTCTACGCCATTCCTCGTGTAAAGCAGCTTCCAACTGGGCCAGGTTCTGTACAGGAAGATCCCCTTGTTGCACATGACGACCATTCATGTCCCAGATATGCACCAAAGGGTTGAGATCAGGGCTCATTCTATTGTGAGATATGTCAGGGAGTACTTAACTAAGTTCTTTGTATATATTTGAAACAAGTGGGTTATACACCATGTGGATTCTAAAACTTAAATGAATTTTGTAGTGACCGAAAATAAGCGAGTTCAGGAAGATTAGCAACAGGCGGACGAGGGAAAAAGATTATGACTAATTGTGTCACATGAAATTTTAAAATCTAGATCACTTGGCAATAGTCCTTGAATTATATATACACAATGTAGATCAAGGCACTTTGCTTGGTTAGCGACTTTTTAATAATGTATATGAAGAAAGATCAAGTTGACATGTTTTCTTATGAATGTGCCTGGATAATAGAATGGGTTTTTTATTACACCAGCACATCAATTTCCACTGCAGGGGCGGGGAAATAAGACAAGACAACTTTTCCTTCATTTCATGTGGGAATGAAAATTCGGTTCCGGCGTCAACAAGTCAGCGAGTCTGACCAACCGATCCCGTTAGTCGCCTTTTACAACAAGCATGGATTGTTGAAGACCAATTGAAACCCGAATGTTCACGGGTAAGAGAACAATAGGACGGCAAAGTCAATGTCATTAACTCTCTGCACTTACACAGCATTCACCTGACAAGAAAGAAGTTGTTAAGAATACAAAAGGTCAGGTATTCATCACATATTTCAGCGGGACATAATCTTGGATACAAATGAGTTTTACATCCTCCCTCAGTTAAATATTTCAGTAATGAGAATCTTGACTTATTGCTATACAACCAGCCCAGTTTGTCGCAAAGCGCTCACACGTGGGACCCTAATGTACATGGAATATAATACCCGTGTAGTTGAAACCCATTAGAATGGAGTTCGATATAAACAAATAGCAACACTCGTAGTCTCAGTGACGATGACACTATAAAAGTGTAGCTATTGTGTATATCGAGTTCCATTCTAATGGGTATTACATTTCAAACCCATTGAGATGGAATTCGGTATAAATAATAGCTACACTTGTATAGTGCCATCCGCGCTGGAAATTCCTGGCAGCCATATTGAAAAATCAAGTCATTGCTAATACTCAGCTAATAATTTTCAAATAACACAGAAAATTAAAGTTGTGCTAATATTTTGGGGATTTTAAAGATTTTGAACATTCTTGTTCTTGGAACCAATTTTTTCATCCGAAAATGCCTTACTAATGAAGACGAAGTCATATTTCATTAATTAATAAACATCTCATTATCTCGTTAATAAATGTTTTGACCTCAAGACTTTGAGAACCATTACGTGTGTCAACGTCATGTTAGTCACCAGCAAGAAGTTCTCTAAAAGCAAACCTTTCTGAGGTAGGAACATATGTTACACTGTCAGAGAATCGATATTCAATATGTGTAGGTTGCTTCGTGTGAACGAACCGCCGCCATATAGCTGGAATATTGCTGAGTGCGGCGTAAAACCAAACTGACTCACTCACTTGTGTGGACGAGAAACGTTATCCTTGGACTTGCTGTGGCATGCTAAGTTTATACGTTATACATTGGGTGACACGTGTTAAAGAGTTATTACTTTAACTTTATTTTACATGGATATCCCAAGAACATGTTTTGTAGAAGATGGATTGATATCCAAATCCAAACTTGGTATAACAAATATGTATTCTTCTGTATTTCTTAGACGTTATGGATCTTGTAAATCATTACTAACACTCGATTTACATCTTTCAAATTTTGAGAAAGCTCTTAACAGAGTTTTAGCCAAATTCCGATGTTTATCTCATTTAAAGATGCTAAAACGTACAGCGAAATGGAGACGTCACGGAGATCAATGAAGACAGACATTTGTATATCTTATGACAAAACTAAATAGCAAATTCTTAAAATGTTTGTTTTCTGGAAGCCGCGGTGGCTGAGCGGTCTAGGCGTCTGAATTTGTGTGCTGGCGATTAGGTGCCTGACTCTGAGGGTGTGGGTTCGATTCCTGGATGGGACTCAATCCCCCAAAAGTACTAGAATCTGTACTTTACTAAGAAAGTGTAATCCCAAATATAACATACGTTATATAAAAATTCTTAAAAGGTTTAGCTATTAAGAGGCATTTAAATATTAAATGATGTTTTCAGATCCTTATTCTCATGCAACACACATCAACAAGCAGTATGTCTGTGATTGTGTTCTGAGTTATTGGGTCTCTAACACATAAAAACACTGCCTGGTTATCGGTGGTACATGTCGACCGGCGTTGTTTTCTCTTCAGTGCCATGGAGATTTTGCAAACTTTGCAGGTTTTCGTTATTCAAACATGTAATAAAAACTCAATTACAAAAATGAACAAAAAACCCGAACTGATCTGCTGCGTGAAATATTATTACTTATATCACTATTTTACTGATGTTTCAAAATACAGATACTATTATTCTAGATTAATTTACCTTCATATCAAATTTCCAGTGTTTGCAATATTCATCAGAGCATTATGTTATAGACTGTATCACATTCATACATATTTATAGGCAGTCTTATATTACTCCAAATGTCAAATGTTTGATCATTAATGTTTAGTTATGTCGCACATTTCACTGTGGGCCTAATTCCTAGAGCAAACCTCGAGATGAGTTTCTATCCTTAATGTATTATGTTATAGACTGTATCACGTTCATACATGGGCAGTCTTATATTACTCCAAATGTCAAATGTTTGATCATTAATTTTTAGTTATGTCGCACATTTCACTGTGGGCCTAATTCCTTGTGAAAACCTCGAGATGAGTTTCTATCCTTAATGTTTCGACGAGGGAAAGTGAATAAGAAAGGCATGATACTTTATGCCTGACAAGTTCTTTACTATATATATTATGATGGGACGTGTCGGTTTCGGTTTTTAAACTGTTGTCAAGCATACTCTTGCTTTGACTATTCATCAACATCTAAAATCAATCTGTAACTTCAAATAGAGGAAACGTGAAAATACACAATGAAAATTCGGGATAATCTCATATAATGTTGTACTGACGAGGGGGTAGGCACCGACAACTACAGTCTAATCAATTTTCTTGGAAGGTTAATACTCCGGGGGTAGGTTACTTGGGAGGGTAAGTTCTCAATATAGTAAATGTATATAGATCTGTGTGTCTATAGTCTGCTTTATGTCTCGTGGGCTGGATGGCCCGATATTGTATATTTGTATGAATTACTGTATTGCAATACTTGTTCATTAAATGTGATATGATCATAAAATACCAGTAACAGCTTCATATTCTAGTAACAAACATTTAACCATTGAACTATAAAGTTAAAAGTTTAAACAACATTTCAGTGGTATCTTGATGTGGTGGTTTTGTGCTGGATAATGTCTTCGAACTTGATCACTCTGCCGAAATCGATCATAGCGGGTAAGGCGTTGTCACAGACACGAGAAGACGTGGCACTGCTTTGTGAGTATGGAACCAATTCCTTTAAATGTCAGGCAACCACATCCAACATCAAATGTATATTCTGCCATATCATTTTGGAAACGTGCGTTCTGGTCAGTCAGTTTGTATATTGTTTAACTCCACAATTCTCCAGCTATTTGACGGCCGTCTGTAAATAATCGCGTCTGGGCCAAACAATCCAGTGATTGACATCACCAGCATCGATCTACTCAATGGGATACGCTGTTGTGTCAACCAAGTCAACAAATCTGACCACGTGATCCCGTCAGTCGCCTCCTAAGACAAGCATGGGTCGAACGGCCTAAACCCTCTGCATGACAGTTTCTACATTGTTGTAGCTACGAAATCAAAGACGAAACCCCTTGCCTTGTTAGCTGTACATTTTACTAGGAAATCGGCTACATTTTATGGAAAGAACTAACAGATATAGATATAGAACGTCAGTGCAAGAGAATACTACGTCTTGACTATCCTCTGAAACAAATCCTCTCGGTGTAAAGGGGAAAATAGCTGAGTGTGAAAATCAGTGAAGACACCATTATAACTGGTTTTACTTTAAGTGGGGTCAGACAAGGTTGTGTTACCAGCCTGTTTTGATTTCCAATGTTTATTCAGAATTTCATGTGATTGAAGATACAGATGTAAGAGGCATATTCATAGGTGTGGAATATTTGGAACTACTGTGATCAATGTATGCTGTGTTTGTGACACTGATATTGGTTTTTAAAAAAAGAATTACATTGAATGCTATATGTATGGATTACTGAAAATCCGTGGTGACACCAGCTGTTCGTGAAATATATTCCCACCTTTCTATCGATTTCTCATTTAGAACAAACTGTACATTTAATGGTCTATTATACTGTGTTAAAGGCCGTGGCCGCATTGATGTCAAACATGGTTAGATTTCGCAGCCACTGTAATGTAAACATTTGTTTGTGTAAATAGGTGTGCCAGATACAGTATATTGTATTATTCAGTAATGTACACATTAGTTTTAAGTCATTTAATAGTTTTATGTATATTTGAATATTAACAGCTGCTTTCAGCTTTATTCACTATATTCATCATGACAAAGTTCTATTATTAGCTATATAGCCAGTATCATTTTAGTTTAATTGAGGGTGGTTAGGTAGGGTTACCACATTGAAAGCTGACTGTATGATTTGAACTCGTGTCCCTTGTCTTAAATCAATTCTGCACGTCACATTAACCTTTTACACAAGCAAGACGTTTGTCTGTCGTGAGTTTGAAATTACCACCTGCTCATACCTCGCGTGTCAGTTTAATCTGTTATATTAATTACTGAGTGTATATCTTTAATGTTACATTTCTAATGTCAGTGTGTAAATAAACAGGTTAACTTTAACAGCATACCAAGTGTAAATAATAAATCAATCAGGTTTGAATGAATTTCAATTGATAGAATTCATTCTAAATGCATCCAAATAATTATATTTTTCGTTAAAGTGTTTTTAGATTCCTAGGAATGTTTGATGTTTGAACGTTTGAGAGATTGATTTCATGTATGTAAGTATGAATGTGATACTAACATGAGCTGTGGTTTATATTTATCAATGATAAATGATAATATCTGTTTGTGAGTGAGCGACTGAATGAGTGAGTGAGTAAGGTTTTACGCCGCTATAAGCAATATTCTAGCAACATCACAGTGGGGGACACCAGGAATGGGCTTCACACATTGTACCAATGTGAGGAATCGAACCCGGGTCTTCGGCGTGACGAGCGAACGCTTTAACCACTAGGCTACCCCACCGCCCCTAGCTACCCTGAGTATAAGAAAGACGAGCATGTACTAAAGCACCTCTGTTGTAGTTACTATACCTTTAACGAAGGATACTGTCTATTCGGATTATAGGTACGCTTATCATCTGGCATGGTGGCACTGTACTACTGAATCCTACTGTCACACATCGGGTATGAATTACTTTGTATTGATTATACATGTCTATGTAATTTATTTATTCTATTTTGGCATGTGTATTACATTCACACCACACTTATTCGATTTGAATGTATGAAATACACCAAGGAGTTATCTCCCCTTGGAATTTATTGTTTTAGAATCTGATTAATATTTCATCTGAACTATTCACCTTGGGCTATTTTAACATCTCATGTATATAGTGTGACACTGTATTTATTGAATTATAGATTATTTCAGGGTTTGGTAAAAGCTCGTGGAATTCACTCACTCACTCACTCACTCACCCGGTTACACTTCCCACCGACAATATCTATAGTACCACTATGTTGGTTTCGATTCTGTAATAGTAATGTCAAGTACATGCTAATGTTTTAAACATTATTATTTTATGTCAGTGAAACTGTAGTTAGTACCTGTATGTTAGTGTAGAGTCAGAGAAGGAAGTGTGAATATATGTGGACGCTGATGAACGGATATGCCTTAACCTGGATTAGGGATTGTGTTCGTGGGGGTTGGCGGGTAGTGGAGCAGCTGAGGTGGATAAGAGGGGGCGGATCATGACACTTATGTCGGGAAGCTCTGTGTGGGTGAGGAAAGATATCTGTATATATGTATTAGGGTTGTATTGGTATGGGCCTGTGGAGAAGGGGTGGGGTGGATACGACGGGTATAGTACATACTAACTCACATTACGTCACATAAGCGTGTGAATGAAATATACATGTGCTACTGTAGTTTGTGTTAATTTAACTGTTATATTGTGTGTTTGCTGCTGGTATTTTACAACATTTAAATGAATATTTATGAGAATTGATGTCTCATTGACCCACTAGACTGGGTGCTGTCCCCTATTGAAATGTGTTAAATGAAGCAACTCGAAAAGAACAGCAGCTGACATCCAAACAATAAATTATCTTCTTCGTCTGCGATGGCAAGTAATCAGTGAATTATAATATTAGCTACCCTGAGTGAGTGAGTTTAGTAGGAATATTAAAGATACATTCCCCTCACTGTATCAATAATCGATCGATATTTAGTTAACGATGATCGATCTCCATGGTCTATGTCGATGGCCAGTCCTACCTATAATACAAGATTATCTCCTATTTCATAGAATCTATTAAACAAATTTGATCCGAACCTAACGACAGTCTTGGTAATACGTGGTCTTTAAATCAAACGTAATATATTATTAAGGTACCTGTTTCGTGTTGCTTAGTATTATACAAACACATGCCTTATGATATAAATGCTGAGAAAATCTGTTTTGAGTAACTTTCTTTTTACAGTTAAACTATCCAATTGCGAGCCAGTATCATGTTCTAGCTTTAATTCCTTCAATGGAAGTACAGTTGGGTTACATTCATGTTTTCTTTAGACCGGCTGAAGGCAACCATAGATTAACTGAATAATTCAGAGTAAGATCAGTTTTCCGGACAATAACATCAGCAGATCCAAATTGATCCTCATCGATGGATCTCAGCGCGTGGTTGGCTTTGTGCATTGATGGTTATTCTAGGAAACGTCTCTTGATATCATGCCATTAAGATAAGAGTATCAGATAAGCAGAGTTCTGGGATATGGATTTTCGTTTGTTTCAAAATTGCGACGGTTAATATTTCAACGACATGAACATTGGAAGATGCGCTATGTTGATAGTATATTGGTACTTATCTCAATGCTAAGTTTAATTTACTAGCTTCCTAATTACCGAATAAGTTATTGAATATACATGTATAGAGAATCTCACCCAAGTGTCTTCTGATATCAATTATATCAACACGAGTTGATAAAGTTACAAATATCCGAGGCTTGCCGAGGATCAACGAGTGTTGATATATTTGATATCAGAAGACACGAGGGTGAGATTCTATTTATCATCCAAAATCACTCTTCATTGGGTTTCAATGAAAAATGTACATCTCTGAACATGGTACTGGCTTGCAGTGAAGCGATGTCATAGCATTGTGACGTCATCAAGTTCCCAATGGTTCCCAATGACGTAGATCGATGTTCATGTTGTTGATCACTGGATTGTCTGGTCCTGACTCGATTATTTACAGATCGCCGCCATATAGCTGAGTGCAGCGTAAAACTAAACTCACTCACTCACTAGTATGCGAACCTAATATCTTGGGGCCTTACTTTCAGAGAACAATCTTATTTTTTAAATCTTCAGAAGGGATTTGTAGACAATCTCAGACATCGACACCGCCCTATTGAGAACTGCAAGTCCCGTTTTATGGAAGTCTCGTTCGAAACATACAACAATCGAATTGCCACAGACCTCTCTCTACAATATGTTTTTCAAATTATTGTGTCTTACTCCAAGGGCATCACTTGCAGCCTCTTGGTACCGAGGCTGGAGGACCTTCGGTGCATCTGCTCCGTGAGTGTTCAGACAATCAGCATTCTGCTTCCTCTCTGGTCTGGGCTCAAGACAGCAGGCTGTATGCTCTACGCCCCGTTACATACACCTGTCAGTGCATACACACTGATGATCGTGTGTGTCATTCTCATTGGTTGCTTTGTGCTGGCAATACCACTGTGGCTGCAGCTGCAACCTCAAGGGCAGTAGAAGGTTGTCTCTGTGACATAATCTCATCACTTTGCCCCTTGAGCTCTGTACATGATCTATGTACACATCAGTCTTTAATCCCATCTCACTGTCCTCCTGTAGGTAGTATTAATGTTGCTTGTATCATATTCTGTCCTTCGAAAGAAGTAGCCAGAAACGTCGTGTTGTAAATAATAAAAAAGTTGTAAATCCATACCATACGTTGTTATGTCACTTTACTATTACATCTCTCTTAGTACTTGGTGTTACAAAAGGTCTCCATCATGTTACGTTTGCCAGGAGAAAACAGACTTAGATATCATTTTCAGTGCTAATAGGTTGAGTCAATTTTAAGTTGAAACTTAACGCCACGTCGGCGGACTTAATTACAGACACATGGCAAAAAGAACACTAAACATTAATCAAAAGGCCAATAAAATAGCACCGTCACAGTTGTAGAATAGAAAAACCTGATATACAGTGTATTAAGTCCAGGCTACAGACATGCAGGGGGTGAGGTGAGGTGAGGTGAAATTGGGTTTTACGTCGTGCTTGAGAATATTTCGCTCATATGACGACGTGCATGCGTGTATGTGTATGTGCGGCTGCTTGTACTAGCCCAGACTTAAGCTGGTTTTATAGTGCTAACCCACTGAGATACCATGCCGCAGTGAAGCATGAATACCCCACTCAGACACATTATACTCCGAGCCGACCAGTCCTTGTTGTACCCATTAATGCCGAGCGCCAGGCAAGGACCAACAAGTACCATATTTTAACGTCTTTTGGTATGACGCGGTCGGGGATCGAACCCGCGACCTCCCGCTCTCCGGGCGGACGCTCTAACCACAACACCACGGAGGCGGTCACAGACATGCAGGAACCAAAGCTAGACCACCTAAAGGGATACAGCAAGGCCGAGAATATTATAAAGTCAGGTATAGTTATCCATCAATTATATCAGACTTTGTCACCCGGTGGCTGCAATGATGAAACAAGTCTTTGTCAAGGGAGTTGTTTACCCTTTCACATAATGACACTGGTAGTAAGCGCTGGGAACGCCTAGGGGCATGGTTATCTCCCCTTTCTCAGCGACACAATTCCTCCTTGTTAGTCGTCTACGATCAGCCATCATCTGAACCATTCCATCAAATGTGGGATCTCAGACAGAGAATCTACTGCGTATATATGTGTGCTTTACCCCAGTTTGAACAATACTCGCCATTTTGCATGATATGTTTATATGTTTGCCTGGACGATCACCTTGAGCAGGATTCAAACAAGAGACTCCGAAGAGACTCATTTCCAGAGACTGCGGCAACCTAGACGAGCTAAACTCTATAGACTTGCATATGAGCTTCACCGGATATATTTTTTGAGCAGGATTCAAACAAGAAAAACAAACAAAAAGAGCCCCACGCATTCCTTTGGATGGTGGATTTTTCATCAGCATTAGCTTTCTTGCGTCTTGAATGTTTTAGGGGTAGCACTGATATTGTGTGAGAGCTGCTTCTCCTGTTTGAAACTCATAGCACTCTAGATATATCTAAGAACTTAATGGTCATTGTGACGTCATTTTATTATGCTGTGACGATGCCTGGGCGATGTTTATGTGGGGTGCTTTAAGCGCAGTAATATCACAGGTATGGGTGGTCACTGTTTCGTCACTGTTTGACGACCAGCTGGAAATCTGTAGACTGATCTATGTTGAGACCGTTACCAACCCGACATAACAAGCGATAGATTTTCAAAATGGTGAAATATTTAAGTATGGAATAAATATTTGTTAATTGTAGGAACTTATACACATGAACATAAAATGTTATTTTACTTCAAAATGATATGATCGTTTACCTGTAATGCATTCATATAGGGATCTGGTTGAACTTGCTACACATTTAGCTTCTTATGTAGAGAACGCATTTTGACGTTATTTAAACATTAATAGAAATGGTAATAAGATACAAAACGCTTTCCCTTTTCAAGCCAAGTTTATTTCCCTCCTGGAACAATTTTGCTTTTACTCGTTTTGCATTCTATGTTCAGCAGTTAAAGAGCTTTCGTCATAAAATCATAAAATCTGTACTTCAGCACTTTGTGCCATCTTCGATCTATGGCATCCGTTCATACAATTTTCACCTTTTTTAACGTCTCACGCTCAGTAAGTTATGATTCCGTGAACAATCAAGGCTGGTTATTTCCACAAATAATGAAAACAGTAGAACAATTAGAGCAAACTTGCTAATTAGCATTATTATCAAAAGTTGTCATTGCAAATTGAGTCACGTGCTCTCAAATGTAAACTCACCGTGCAGTTAGTCAAATAGAAGCGACAAACCCTCTCAATAGAGACAAGAAATCTATTTACTCGTGTGGTTGCTTTTCAATGTCATATTCGACATATGTATACATACACGGAACCTATAGTGACCAGACAAATGACAGCTAATCAACTGTACATCCCAAGTCTTATGCCTCTTGAGGTTATAACTTATATTCTAGCACGACATGGTGTGATACTCGATTCTGATTGGCTGAGAGTTCACCAAAACCGTACTAAATGGCAGTTTAAGACCGCTAATGAAAGTGACCTATTCACCGCTAAATGTTTAATTTAAAACATCACGCTGACGCGTTCGGTTTTTAAATTACATTTAGCGGTCTTAAATCAACGATAAAGGACCTCAAAATTGAAAACCGAGTAGCTTTATCTTCTAATTACACCTTCTTTATAATCGGATTATTTTGTATAATGTTGCTTTAAATGGAAATATTGAAAATTATGTTCATAACTGCTTGAGTCTATCGTCAAAGGAGCAAAATCATTTTATTTTAACGAGCACATCAAAACAAATGTCTTATTTTATATTCTCGTTGTAAACTAGAATTACACACAAGGATTAAATGTCCGTGTTTGAATATGTCAATGATATTATTATTAAATTACTTCTTTACATTTCAGCTACACGTTCGTCTAAGGTGACGTAAGTTAGCAAAAATCAGGTACAATCTTGTGTCTTCCAATATACATATTATATACTATCCCCAAAAAAGAAACGCATAGGACTTTTGTATTTTAAGAAATCTATTAATTACCTATTGTGTTCACACAATCGTCAAAATATGTAACATGATTTTACATAATTGCACAAGTAAGAAATCGACTTTACCTGAAAATGTTGATTTTGATTAGATTTCTTACAAGGATTAAAAAGGCATCACCCACAATGCAACAGAAAAAACCTTCCAGTTGAAATTGTGCAGCAAAGAGCATGCACTGTCTGGCTATAAAAGTCCAGATTACTTTCGGAAATCGGCATTCGTTTTGAAGGAGTTTCAAGGTCAAATCACTACGCCACGACTTGGCGCTGCGACACGGAACATCGCCATTGAAATAATTCACGCTCAAGATTACCAGTCTTCTGTTGCCAATCGTCTACATGTTAGTCTGAGCACGATATCACGGCTTACAACTCGTTACAACCAAACAGGCATAACAAATGACCGTCCCCGTACAGGCAGGCCTAGAGTCACCACTGTAGCCCAAGATCGGTACATCCGGGTACTACATTTGCGTGATCGTACTGCCACGGGTGAGAGCACAGCAGCCAGAGTGCCTGGACTTCAGAGAATATCCGGTCACACTGTATGGAACTGGTTGAAAGAGATTGGACTGAGAGCCAGGAGATCCGACGTCGGGTTCGCGCTACGTCGTCACCATCGCGCTCAACGTCTCCGTTATATCTAAAGTTATCGACTTGGTTGTATAGACATTTCCTTCTTCTAAACCGATGCAAAAATTCATGCACAAAAGTCTATTTGTGGACGAGTTATACATGTTTGAAAATACAACATTTTCGCAACAGATTTCTGGGGTATGTGTTTCTAATTTTTAATAGTATATATAAATATTCCATAAATATGAAATATATGTACGACTAACAACCTAGCAACAATACATAGGGTTAAAATGAATGCAGCATCATTTATTAGAAATACAGTGCATGGCGTTTCCATGAACTTTACACTGATAGAACTGTAGGAGTGAGTTAAGATTTACGCCGCTTTTAGCAATATTCCAGCAATATCACGGCGGGGGACACCAGAAATGGGTTTCACACATTGTACCCATGAGGGGTATTGAACCCGGGTCTTCGGCATTACGAGCAAACGCTTTAACCACTAGGCCTGGGTTAAAAGGCCGTATTACCAAGCCTCCAAACTTCTATCGTCCATCCGACTTGGACACCTTTGCCAGCCATTGGGTCGTGTGTTTGGTGTCTTATTTTGAATCAGACATGTCATCATCTGAATAATTCTGAAGTCGACTGGGTAGCCTTTGACGTTTCAGGACGCATCTCTTTGTAGGTGGCCGCCATAGTTCTGATTGAAGCATGACCCTGTCGTTTTAAATAGGACTGCTCTCCTCGTAGGTTGCCGCCGTAATTCTGATCGAAGCATGACCCTGTCGTTTTCATTAAGACGGATCTCTTTGTAGGTGGCCGCCATAATTCTGATCAAAGCATGACCCTGTCGTTTGAGGACGGAACTCTTTGCAGGTGATCGTCATGGTTGCGTCTTTGAGGACGGAACGGTGACAAAGTGATAGCCTAGTAGCTTTCTATTAGTAACTATTGTCTGTGTACTATGATATTCTCAATTGTAATATTCTAAAATCCTCATAAATTGATTACCAATATTGGTCCCTAAATGTACTAAACAGAGTTTAAGAGAATTTTCTTAAATAGTTTTATCTTTCGGGGCTTGGCTCCCTCCACAGTCGTTTTTGTGTATAATTTTGATGACCGAAATGACAAATTTCCTTTACGACATTTCTTTTGTCAGGAAAGAAAAACTACGTATACAAAAAGTCATTCTCGTGGCTGATCGTTACTGAATTTGTGACCTCTGTACATTTAGTGTAAATGTGTAGCTATT